TAGCCGCGAGACAGATTTCAGTTTGTGTTTTCTGTACAGAAATGACTATAAAAACAGCTAACTGGTAGCAATTGGTCGGTACAATCAGCTGTCAACGGCATTTGGTCATTACATTTCTTTACGTGTCTTCAAAAACAGTTCCTACAAATCTCCCCCATGAGACACCCACGAGACAGTTCCCATTGGATTAACATTGTGTCTCATGAGACACCGTGTAGGTAAAATGTAGGATGAAAAACTACGAAAGTGGTGGGCATGTTTCGAAAAACGGCGCACAAATTCTTGGGGCGCCTTAACAAAACTCCTGTTCGAAAATGGGTTCTGGTAAAGTTTCGTCAGCTGGTTTCCATAGCAACCGCCATTCGTGGGACAAGCTGACGCCATTTGCTATCGCGTTGCGTGGTAACCAGCTATCGGTGTCAGTTGAATTTGAAAGATAATTGTAACAGTGAACAGCTCGCTTCAGTTGCTGTACTGTGCTGTGGATGTGTGTCTTGTGCAGTGTAAGCAAAGTGTATACGGACTTTCACATTATATTTTGTGATGTGATGGTGTGGTAATAGAAGGTTGTGAGCTCTAAGTGGAGTTAAGGAATTGCCAAAGAAATGAAAACTCTGCATGGGCCGGAAATCTGCAGCCTGCACTTCTATAAACTCTTCATAAGAGGTTCGTGGCAGGGGGCATTTTTGGGAGCGATTATGGAGGTGCTGGTAAGTAGGTAGGTACCCAACCTAATTGGCTTGATGAGAACTGAAACTGAAAGTCAAATGAATTGTGAAATTGCTTTACCTATCCTATCTGATCACTTCTACTTATTTTTTAAATTTTCCATTCATTTTGATTGATAAAGAACAACATTGAAAGATGCTAACATGCAGGTAACTACCTACCTAGCTCTAATGTAAATAGGTACCTAATAATTTCCTTCAAAAGAATATATGGCTCTTCAATGTACTGGAGATTTAGTAATTGAAGGCATCTCACTTCATTTTGAACACTACCTAGGTATAACTTCCCTAAACTGCATGACAAATTTTCAATTTCCTTGTTGTAACACCAATACCACAAACATTCATCTGGGCACAAGGCTCACAACATCAAATTATTCATGTTTTATAGACAGGTACCTATACAGCAAAAATGCAACAGATATGTGATTATTTTAAACATAGTCTTTGTGTTCAGTTGTGTATATAATAATTTTGTGGGTGGAAAATGTGTCATGAATTGTCTACAGGTCTGTGTAGAATTGTAATTAATATGATTATAGAAAAAGGAATGGCCAGTTAAGTAGTCAACATGTTTACTCAACAACAAGATATGCTGGCATGGAGTTTGCTCATGAGTTTGCTCAAAAACCTTTCAGTTAGTGTGGGAAGCATAGCAATTTGAAGCATATGCTTATAAAACTGATTTGTAATGGGGTTTGTGAAGTTCTCCATAAACTTCACACCTAGCAATGTACCTACCTAATGCATTGCATTACTTTAAAAAGAAGGAGACCATACAACTTGTCAGGTAGGTAGGCTTTGACATTGATTTCAAGATTTCAAGGGAGATCTGTGCTTTTGCTTATAACTTGTCCTCATTCTCTGACTAAAGGAGTGGCAATACAATCTGACTTGTTCTATTTTCCTCTTGCCTTGCCATTTTTGACATAATCCTTGCCCAGGCTATATGTTGGTATGATGAAGGTCAATCAGATGACATATTTCAAATATTACAGTCATGATTTCAGTTGAATTTGCCTATCTTTATTTAAACAATATAAGATTACACATTGCATAGCTATAACAGCAATATTTGAGCCACCATTGGCATAGAAATTAATAGGTTGCAAAACATTACTCAGCAAGAAGAAATCAGTCATTGACAGTGGAGAAAACACATCTAGACTTGACAACAAATTACAATTGATTATTCTTCTACCATTCATGTTGGCATAAGTAATAATTCAAATGGATACTTAGTGCATTTTCTAAAGATTTTAAGCACATGAGATCCATCCAAAGGCACAGACTCGGAACAAAGGCTGTGTTATAAACAAGGATATTGCACCTTTTTGGTATCTTAACATATTGTTATATTCCGACATCCTAAGAAAAATAATATGGTAATCTGCCCTGCTTCATTTGATACGTATCGATGAGTAATTGGATGTAGCGGGAATGCAATTAGTTATCCGGCAGTTGTCTCCAGCAGCGACAAAATGGCCGCTTACTTTCTGTCAAACATTTGCTTTCATATGGCTAAGTACATTAATTTACTTAGTCTAACTTTGTCTAGCAAATCTCCAGTTTTACTTCGGAAAAACCGGCAGCGTGTTCCACGTTGGTGACCCCGCCAGGCGAGGCAGTTCCGTCGGCCGTCGATGTCCTTCGGTCATATAACCCCTAATAAAACTAGCGCGTCGAACGATCGGCAGCATGGATGGTCTCACACCATCCATGGCAGGGACCGACCTCACAGAGCCACGCAGAAAACAGGAATATCGGATTTATCTGCCTCTAAACTGTAATGTATGAATGCGTCGTGAAAATTTTACAAGACAGCTGAGGTTTGCTAAGCAAGAAAAAATAGACCAGGATCTGTATTAGCGAAGAGATTAGCGATGCACGTGAAATGTGTATAGATTGCAGTATAGATGTATAGTCAGCGATGGATTATAAAAGGATTTAAAGCCGCTTCTTAAAGCCTACAGTCAAAACGTTTTCTGAACGTCTGTGGTCCTCAATATGATAGGTATTCTATGATAGGTATTCCATAGCAATTTAATGGGCTTCGTCCCATTAGCAAATATTGCAAAATCGTCCTCAAATAATGTTTTCTTACCTAAATGAAGTAATGTTGATCCAGAAAAAAACTTGTTACACACTCCTTAAAGTTTCATATTCCTAAACAGAAACACTGATGTGCACCGTACACTGCAGCGTTACGTCCCTTCACCTTCAGCCCGCCAAGTAGTAACTGCCCCACTAAACGGGAGAGGGACGCTATGGGACGGCAGATGGACGCCCGTCTGGTCCATGTGGAACTGAACCCTCATTGGATGAGAGGAATTAATTGAGCGTCCCGGTGGTTTTATGAGGGTAGTTCTTGACTTTCCAGTGTTTCCAGACACAGTCAACAACCAGACCGCCTCACTCTAGTCTATTTATACACCAACAGTATGCATTTCAGGTGGAGGTGTACCAAGTCCTGCCTCGCACTTTGCCCAAATCAGCGCATACCGTATGTCTGTCGGCTTCTTAGAAAAATGACGATATATCTGCGGATAGCTTCAGAAATAAAAACACTTCAGGAATAGCGTTTACGTCCTGTAAATATTAATAACTGTAATGTAAATAACCAGCTTTACTTGAAAGTATAGATATGTTGGGATATACCTAAGGATGATCGGTGAGACAAACCGGAGCCATCGGAGACCGTGTAGGAGACAGGCTGGGCTATTTGTGCACCTCTGAGTCGCTCATTTTTTGATCTTGCAAACAGCACTTCTCCTCCTCTGGTTATAACCGTTGAGATTTTTCCTTCCCTTCGCGCTTGGAGGAGTAACTGAAACGCCTCCTGCCTCATCGGGGTCAGGTTTTCATTAATGAAAACTTTGTGACCTCTCAGCTTGTACTTGTTGCGAAATATCTCATCTCTGATCGATCCCCTTTCGTCACTGGCAAAAGTGATCAGCACTCGGTTTCGTGGCAGGACTTTTGCGGAAATGATATGAGCTGGGTGTACTTCGAGCTCCAGCATTCTATTTATCATCGCTGACATTGCCGCTATCATTCCGCGTTCATTTTGTGGGATATGCAAGTCCCTCCCTGAGAAAATGAGCTGTGTTCTTCTTCTCAGTTTCTCACTATCCTCTTTTTCCTGTTCTAGCTTGGCCACTCTGTACGCGAGATTTTGCCAATCGTTGTGCAGTTCAGCTAGCGCCTTTTCCAGCGAGTTCGCCTTTTGTGTCGTTACCGTAATCGTTTCCAATGCAAAGCTCAAAGATTGTTCTATTGCCTTTATCCTTTCATCAAGAGCTCTTTTGATCTCCGTTACAGCCTCACCGGTTTTCTCCTCTATGAATGCTTTGAGCTCTTCTATCGTTCCTTCCTCTTTCTCCGGAGTTCCCGATTCGTGTCTTCTTTTCCTCTGTTTTGTCATCACGGCCAGTCACCGTAGGCACTTTAACATGTAACCAAAACCACAGCACTTTGTTTACTCTCTTTCACTCTGCCTCGCGCTCACTGCTCTCACTTGACGGCCCGCGCGGAGCGCACGCGCGCACGTCCGCTCGCCTCGGCTGACCTGCCGCAACTCGGAGCCGGCATATCTTCCCCGGAGCCGGAGCCGGAGGCGGAGCCGTGAAACAATATAGCCCGGAGCTGGAGCCGGAGCCGGAGCCGTCAAAAAAGGGGGCGACTCCGGCTCCTTTTTTTGAAGAGGAAATAATTATTGACCTAGTTCGGTTTGACAGTTCAAACCAGTAAAACATGCGGTATTCAAAATATGAAAATAGCCTTGTTATGCAAATACAGAAGCGACGTGCACCAATCTCATCGTCTTTTTTCTTCCACCCGTATTGAATTGCATAGGGGATGTACTGAGTAATGGAGCCGGAGCCGGAGCCGGAGCCGCCGGAGCCGGACCATTTTACTCGGAGCCGGAGCCGGAGCCGCCATGGCATTTCACCCGGAGCCCGAGCCGGAGCCGGAGCCGATTTTTTTCAGGAGCCGGAGCCGGAGCCGGAGCCGTCTGAAATTTCCACGGCTCCGCATCCCTGGCACTACCAAACATGACCTTTGGTAGCTCTGCAATGTGTCGATTTAGCTAACTAGATTATAGCCAGAGAAATTTGATACTTGAGATCCCATCATTTGGTTCGAAATTTGCATTGTACACAATAAGCCGTGCAGCATAACGAAGCTTGAAGGTATCATGAACATTATAAAGTTCCGTACATTTTCGTTCATGATGCTTTCCTTCTAATGGCATGGTCACTTTTCCTGCAGGCGATAACCGGACCATCTTACGGTTTGAGGCCGCCTGGGACTCGTCTCTGCACAACTCGCCTCTGTTGAACCGGGTGACGCCGTACGGAGAGCTGGTCTATATGACCATTTCCGCCTACCTGGAGGTGAGTGAGCGCCCCTATAGATAGCGTCTGACGCCGTACGGAGAGCTGGTCTACATGACTCCTACCTGGAGGTACGTTAAGTCCACCTCCGCCTATCTAGAGGTATGTCCAAGTCAGCAGTCAGCACTATTTATTTGTGAACAATAAAGGAATGTGCTATTTAGATTAATCATGGCGCATTTGAGACAAAACATGAAGGTTGAATAAATAAACCTTTACGATACCTATATTTTGAATAATTCAACACTAAAATAATTATTGCAATTTTTACCTAGTTCCTTTTCATGCATCATCATCATTTCAATTTAGGCTCACCTGGCACGGTCTCGCTGAACAGCGAAGAAGCGGCGCACGAGTCGGTTGGTCGATGTTTCTCTACATCCAGCAACTGTACACTCACGATGTTGTTCGCTGCGGATTAGCGCCACGCTGTTTACCCATTTAACCCGCGCACCGACCGGGGTCCGCGCCAACTTCGCACCGACGCGCGACGCGCGACGGGGGGAAAGATGAACGCCCCCGCCCCTGCGATCTCGAGAACGGAGCAAGATAGCGACAACGGACAAGCGGTAAACGGCATGGGGTACGCACGGATAAGGTCTACAATTTTACTGAGGTCATTTTCAGGTCAGGTCAAAGATGACGTCACAGGGCTAAAAAAAGTCAGAAATGAGCGCTAGATATGAGGTTTTTTTTCTCGAATGACGTTCGAACTAGTCAAGCTAGGGACAAACTAATAGCACCATCGTGATCCTGTCGTCGATCCGCATCGAATCATATATGTATAGGTTGACCTCGAAAGGTCAAGGTCATAAGTTGACCTCAGGTTACGTGACCTTAAGATCATCATGTATATTATTCGATGCGCTTCGGCGAGCTGAACACAACGAGACCATCCGCGCGGCTGTATCTTGTTCCTGTAAGGAGTTAGAGGAAGTTGGGGAACGCCGAATACTTTTTTTTCTGACGTCCGTAGCACGCAAGGTAGACAACATAAGCTATTCTTGTTGGCGTCATTCGAGAGGCCAGTCTTTTGCCTTTCAAACAAACCAGGCGCATTTGATGAATTCGCATACCGTTAAAGGGACCCTCCCACCTTAACATTAGATTTGAGTTGAGATAGCCAAAATGGGGTCCCTGGCTCACAATTACCGGTTTCGGCACTCACAACATCGAGAAATGCCTTAAATCGGAAATATTGAATTTCAAAATTGCAGCATTTTGATTCAGAGGGGCTAATGCATAGGAATACCCCTCTGAATGTGTGATGTCAGCGCAGATATCTAGCGATTTTTAAATGTTTGACTAAAACGTTTTGTAGCACGCGGTGGTATATGCTGCTTTGCGCGCAATAAGTGCCGCACTTTCAGCTGCCAAACTATTGCTTCCAATTAAGTCGCTAGGAACAGCGGAGATCCCAAAAAGTAAACAAAAGTAAAAGTCTAATATCTTGAAAACCGGTGAGTATTTTCACGGGCGTAGGAACGTCATGAAAAGTGGGTGGGCCACCCTGTCAAGGGGCCTCCTTTTCCAGCGGGCCTCCTATTTTCAGGGGCCTCCAACTTTTGCCTCGTCCTGCTGGCTGCTTTCAAGCATGACCTCTAAATCTAGCTTCTGAGAGCGGGCAGATGTACCCAGGGGCGTAACCGCTTAAGCGAACAGTGCGGAAAGTCCGCACCATTTTTAAAACTTGTTCTCCCTCCGATTTTTTAGAATCTATTTGCCGCAAGCGGCGCATGACCCCTGAAAACCCTTACACAAATGTTTTCCTCGTTTCCCAGGTGCCCCCATTAGCTTCATAGGCGCCCTCTTTGGCATATAAGCGCCCTATGTATAGTCATCAGAGACATCCCTATATGTCCCACAGTCCCCCCGTTGTCGCATACAATGCGCGCTTATCATAGGCGTCTCTCTTTTATGGACACTTGAAGGCGCCTCTCTTTGCCATGCCGGCGCCCCCGTTTCTTATGAATGCACCCCCATGGCATTGATCAATTGCATTTGCAGACCTCTATTGCTTGTGGACGCCCATATATGTAGGCCTCAGAGGCCTCTTTCGCATTGAGGCGCCCCTATGGGCTTCATAGGCGCCTCTCTATTGCACGTAGGTGCCCTACTGTCTCAGAACCGCTCCCCTTTGGCATGCAGACGCCCATCTTTCGTACGGAGGAGCTGCTGTGGTTCTTAGAGGAGACGGCATGGTGCTCCCAGACGCAGATGGGGCTCTCGGAGTCGACAGTGTGGGACCTTCAGTCGCTGATGGGTGCCCGCCAGATGTGGACCCTCGGAGACGCCGGTATGGGGCCCTCAGAGATGCCGGTATGTGGACCCTCAGAGACGCCGGTATGGGGCCCTCAGAGATGCCGGTATGTGGCCCTTAGAGACACCGGTGTAGAACCCTCAGATACTTCAGTGTGAAGCCCTTACAATTGCTGGTGTGGAGCTATGAATGCGCTGGCTTAAATCCCTCAGAGGCCGGTACATGGACATTAGAGCTCAGTGAGAGCTTGTGTGGTGCCTTCAGTGGCCTTGTGGAGCCGTTAGACATCAACATGGTGCTCTCAGGAGCCGGTGAGTCCTCAGAGTCACCAGTGTGGGGCCTTCAGAGCTCCGAGATACTGGTGTGGGGCCCTCAGAGGTGTCGGTGTGGGCCCTTCAGATTTACCTATAGAGCCTTGAGATGCACAGGTGTGATGGCCCACAGAGGCGCCGGTGTGGGGCCCCCAGAGCCACCGATATATGGCCCTAAGAGACACTAGTATGACCCTCAAAGGCGCCGCTGTGTGGCGCTCATAAACACTGGTGTGGAGCCATCACAGGCGGGTGGAGCCGTTAGAGGCCGGAAAGGGCCCTTAGATGCCTACAAGGAGCCTTCAGAAGCCGGCGTGGCACCCTTATGGGGATAAGCGTGTCTACTTAGGAGCCCTTGAGGTGCTCTCATGAGCTCTGTGGGGCCCTATCGAGCCGAAATATGGCCACGGCCAGTTGCCGCCGCATGGCTCTTCGGACTATCATTCTCAGGGGCCTCATCTGCCTAGTTTGAATAGAAGGGCCTCTCAGACCATCAGTCTCATGGGCCTCCTCTGGCTAGCATAAATAGAAGGGCCTGTTAGACCATCAGTCCTAGGGACCTCCTCTGGTTAGTATAAATAGAAGAGCCTCTCAGACCATTAATCTCAGGGGGCTCCTGTGGACAGTATAAATAAAAGGGCCTCTCAGACCACCAGGGGCCTCCCTAGAAAAGTGTAAATGTGGATAGAGGGCCCCCTCAGATTCATTAGGAGTGGACCTCTCTGACTATCAGTCTCAGGGGCCTCTTGTGGCCGGTATGAATATAAGAGCCCTCAGACCATCGGTCTCAGGGGCCTCTTCTGACTAGTGTGGATAGAGGGCCCTCCCAGACTACCGGTTTCAGGGGCCTCCAGTGGCCAGTTATATGAGCAGAAGGGCATCACAGCCATCAGCCTCGGGGGCCTCTTCTGACTGGTGTGAATATGAGGGCCTCTCATACCATCAGTCTCAGGGGCCTCCTCTGCCTAGTGTGAATATAAGGGCTTCCCTGGCCATCAGTCTCAGGGGACTCTTCTGACTGGTGCCGGATTGAGGGACCTCCCAGACAGAAAGTTTTGGGGGTCTCCTGTAGCCAGTATGAATAGAAGGGCCTCTCAGTCCATCAGTCTCATGGGCCTCTTCTGCCTGGTGTGATTATAAGGGCCTCTCAGGTCATCAGTTTCAGGGGCCTCCTCTGACTACAGTGGATGGATAGACCTCCCAGACCATCAGTCTCAGGGGCCTCTTCTGACTATTGAGGATAGAGGGGCCTCCTCTGACTAGTGAGGGTAGGGGGCCTCGGCTAGACCGCCAGTGTCAGGGGCCTATTCTGACTAGTGTGGATGGAGGGGCCTCCCAGACCACCAGTCTCAGACCTCTGACTAGTGTGGATAGAGGGGCCTCCCAGACCGCCAGTGTCAGGGGCCTCCCCAGACCAGTGTGGATATTGGGGCCTCCTCAGATCCACGAGGGTCTCTCAGGCCATCAGTCTCAGGGGCTTCGACTGACAAGTATGAACAGAGGGCCTCCTTGGATCCATCGCGGCCCCTTGGAGTCCGTGCGTGGGGATTCGTGGAACTTATTTTTACCGAGTTTGTTTATTCTGGAAGGTGACGACGTCCTCTCAAATCGAGACGAGGGGCCTCGAGTAAAAAGTGGGTGGGCCAAAACACATGGTTGGCCCCCCCCCACCTCGAAAAGTGGGTGGGCACTTGCCCACCTGGCCCCCCCCCCCCCCTGTTCCTACGCCTATGAGTATTTTTCGGTGGTATTTGGTAGATATTCGTTTTCGCTCTTTCTGAACCGAGCGACATCACTTTCATGCGAATTCATAAACTTTTTTGAAGGTGGGAGGGTCCCTTTAAGCGCACAAACTAAAAATATCAAAGAAGTGACTTTTTCGGCGTTGCCCCGGACTGCGGGGAAAGCCAAAAATGGGAGAAATGACCTACGGGAATGCCGAAATTGATGTTTTGCTATTTTATCTCAAATTTTATCCAGAATTCGTCAAAGCTGACACGCGTTTTAAGAGCTTGAGGACGCTTGGTGCACACTGGAAGTTATAATTGTGTGATATAATAAGAAAAGGCCAGGTAAATCATTCCTTATGGTAACAGGCCGTTGTGTCGGTTAAAAGTGTAATTTGTGTGACTAAAAATACGCGTTGCTATTCTACAGCGGTAAAGTTCACGTAGCGTGCTTTAACGCGCGTAATTGCACGTTTTCGACATTACCCCAGCTAGCCATACTTTCATTTGCAGGCCCATAACTTTTCAACGTGCTGCATAAATTTCAAATAGGCAGCACACTTATGCAAAGACGTGCTGAAGATTACTTGACCGAATTGGCCAGACAAACGGTAGCATAATGAGTAGGAAATGCAGCTTCGAAGACGCATGTAGTACAAAGGAAACGTACCTTGAAAACGCTCTTGGCGCCCTCACAGCCGA